CAGTCCTTATTTACATTATAATTCATTAAATAAGTTAAAGTAAAAATACCCATATGAATTAATATTTAATCTCACTATGACAGAGCTAGTTTAGTGAAACAAATTCCAAATCAATCTCTACTCAAGATGCTTAATGGTTAGATTTTCCTTTCATCTTTAAAGGGAAAAAGTACCCTTCACACAAGTAATCTTATTTGTTTACAACTTCACTTGCTAATCCACAGCATATAATTTTCACAATAAGGCTTTTAAGGTAATCAGATTTAATGACCAGAAATCCAGTTTTTGCTTCTTTTCAAAAGTCTCTCATTGTCCATAAATGGGAATTGATGTAGAGGAAACAAAAATGAGCAGGATGTAGCACTTACCTGCAAAAGTTGCATCAAAAACCTCTCCTGGCTGGCCATATTCATAGTATACTGCTTCACTGTTGATTCATATAATGTACAGGTATGTTTAACCCAAAGACCAAAAAAACTGGCCCAGGTTCTTTCAAGAATGGATAGCACTACCCATTAGAAAATCTAAATTTAGTAGATAGTGCAGTATGTTTTGTTAACTCTTATCAGTTGGATGACATTGTCCACCCTTTCCTTTGAATACCTTTGCCATAATGACCAAGTTGTAATACTCATTACCAAAACTCCTTAAATAATACTGTGATGCCAGCAGCCTACAAATGTTGAAAAGAGAAAATTGCCCTTTGAAAATAGTTCTGTGTGTTCCTTTGAAAGGAGCTCCATGGCTATCAGTGATACCCAAAATCTCAAAGGAGCACACCCCTATGTTTTCAGCTAAGCTTAAGGTTCATTGGTGGGCAAATGGCTTTGATATTCTGGGCATCACAAGATTCCTAGCAAATTTAATTGGACACGACATACTCCATGACTATTTCCTCAACAAAACCTTTGCTGCTTCATTACCTCTAGGAAAATCAATTAAAAACAGCCATCCATCTGGTGCTTTGCTCCACAAATAATTCCACACAAACCTTAATTTTTAGAAAATTTTATCTAGAACTTACAATAAAGCTATGTATTGTCACTAAAAATTTGAGGAATATGTAACTGCATACATGAACTTCATTCAATTTTTCCTTGACATTGCAATTTATTAGATTTTGAGACTGTAGGATGATTTAAGTGCTCACCCATGTTCCGGGTAGGCTGCTTCAAATTCATAGCTTGGCTCATAAGACTCATAGCCCTGAAAAAAAGGCAACTGAATGTGATTCATAGAATTAAACACTATGAATGCATTTAAAAGCACTTTATCACTAAGACATGGAAGCTTCTGTTTATACAATTAAGACAAACTATTTTACTTTTAACCTTCTTGCATGATTATTTTATTTATTTAACAGCTTATTATGTGAGGATGCTTTAACTTTAAGATTATTGCATTTAAATATGAAGTGCAGCAAGACTTGATTTATGTTATTGTGTATATCTGGTGAAAAAATTATTGACAAGTCACACCAGTAATTAAGGAACTGTATTGTGAAAAGAGTACAGTTACAACTGTACCTGGAAATTGTTCACGGAGACATTGAATTGTAAGTGACAATGTAAAATATTGGCAAGTTTAACTATACTCATATGAGTGAGGGAAGTCCTGAAAAGGACTTTAGTCCACAATAGTGAATCATGTTTTTCACCTTTGATAACACTTCAATCCTCAAAATCCACTCAGTGGCTTAGTCCATGGTTCACTAGACACTAGATTGGTGCCTTAGCTGGGTCACAGTGTTATGCTCTTGAAGCAGACAACACTCTCACTGTGCCTCTATCAACTCAGAAGTATAACAAACCACCAGCAAAAAGTCAAGAAAACAAGAAATTCCAGGGATAATCCAACAATGGACTACCATTCCCAAACAATGGG